GGGTTCTCTTCCTATTTTTTTGTTCGGGTGCGTGTCGGCTGCAGGATCCTAAACCGCTCCCTGCCAAGCTGCTCTGCGTGCCGCACCGCAGCCCGCCGGGGCGGAGGAGATCCAGCTGCTTTGTTCGAGTACTCTTCGTGCCCACCCGCTGCACGTGTAACGCTGGAAGGTGGATATTCGTAGTGTTTTCAGTGAAAAGACAGAGAGAGAGAATGTAGAGCGATTTACTTCCAAGCTCATTCTCGTCATCTGAGCGTTCCACCTTTGCGCAGCCACTTTTCTTCTTACTTTAGCTTTCACTCCCTCTCCTCAGTGTGTTTACCCTTCCTGTGAGAGCTGCTGCAATCTGCGTTAATCACTCTTACTTTGGGGGGCTATGGTGATACTAATAAGCCATTCATAACAACTTAAACTGTAACTTGCATAGTCAATGTTTTAAGCAAATACTGGTTGAAGGCGTGTGCCTTTCCTGTTAGTGCTGTGGCTGCTGGAAAGAATCATGGATTATCTTTTAAATAGTTAACGCTGCTGATATGCTGCTCTTCAGAATGTTATATTGATAACTGAACAGTCTGATGCCAAGTATCGGAATACAGCATTGATCCACAGCTGGTAACTTTTTTTTTTAAATGGCAATGTCTGCTGCATAATTTAAAGGGCTAATAGGTTAAGTGCTCTTGAAAAAAGGGGCATAGCTGTACAAACAAAAAGCACAGAACAGCCTTACCTTTCTGAAAATTACAGACAGGCCTCACAGGCGGTTGCAGTTGTGCAGCATGGTCTATCTCTTTTTGGGAGAACAGTTGATCAAAAGACATCTCTTCTAAACACGTTCTTATTGTCTGTTTGAGCCTCTTTGTTAAACAGTTAACGTGTAACTATGGTATTAGTGTTTTATTTGGGCTAGCAATGGGAAGAGAGAATGTCTGAGTACTGGTGTTTCTCGAATGCCTCTGAACACTGCTGTGTGTTTCCCTGGTAAAAGATAATCCTCAGAAAAGGAAACACAGTCCCTTGGTTAAGATTTCATGTGAAAGTAAAGACATCTGACTGCATGTTCTTGTCAATTCTGTAGTGTGTCTTTGAAATCTTCCCCACACAGGTGTGTGTCTGTGAAAACCTTCATAGCCCTTTACATGAAAGGCAGCACGCAGGCTAAAGCAAAGATTTCCTGCGTATCAGCAGAAAAAAGAGAGCTTGTGATCTGTGTTGAATTAGTTCAGGTTTGCAAAGTACTACTGGCTTTACAAGCTTACTGCAAATACCCGCTCTTGTAATGATTTCTAAAATTCTGATTATTTCCTAATAGCAAGTTATATGTAGGCATGAATGATTATAATCCTTAAAAAACTTCACAAAACTACTAATGGCGGAACTTACAGCTTTGATACTACTTGGCTGCTCAATGTGATGCTTTTGAAATTGCTTTCATCTTGAGACTGATAGCCTGCAATATGACCTGTAGTCACCTCCTGGATCTTTAAGGCTGGGTTAGGTGCCACTTCTGTGCACAGTTTCTTGCTTTATTTTGGATTTGAACATTATCGTGTTCATAGCAAATTCTAAACGATTTGCGTCAGTAGTTCTTACAATTTGTTGATCTTGGAAATTCATTCATAATTACATCTTGCTTCCATTTAGCGTGAATTGTATTAAAAAAGGTGATCAGATGAACTGGAGGGGTGGCTTTGAGAGAAAACTGAGAACAGCTCTTTTGGAAGACTGTCATTGACATTAGTTAAAGAAGTATATATTGAGCAAGAGGGGCTGCCAGACAGTTTGACAGACTTCTAAGACAAAGGGCCTTACTCTGACAAATTTGTGTGTGGATGAGGAAGAGGCTTGGTTCTGCTGCTTTCTTTGGTTCAGCATGTTGTGTCTATGTGTACTGGGGCAGGGGAACATAAAGTAGATGGAAAGGGGGTGAAAGAATGGGGATTGCCTTGACTTCTAAACTTGCATTTTTTCATGGCAGAAAAGGATGTAAAGGTGGCGTGGACATAGAGATGCACAGCAGCAAGTTGGCAGGAGCGTGAGTCTCCCAGTACTGCTCAGCACTTGCTTGTCTTTATTGGTGCTGGGGCAGTTTCAATAAATTTAATTTAGAGCCTTGGAGCAGAAAAAAATCTGTGGTGGTGGTGGGGTTTTGGCAGTTTGTAAGAATTTCTAAAGTGCAGAAACAATGTTACTGTTCGATTAGGCACATGGGTCTGTAGTGGTGAATGTTAACAGGAAAACTCTGAGTAAGAAGAGACTAAAAATAAAGGCATGGGATGTTAGAAAAACAGTCCTGTCTTTCATCCTCATTATTAAAAAATCCCGAAGGAGCTGAAGGTTGGTCGCCAGAATTCTTGGAGACTGAAAGAACAATCTGTAAGCACTTGAGAGACTTGATAGTCACAAGAAGATATGAGGGAACCCCCTTAACAGCCTTCATCAGAATTCCCTGACTGGGCTCCTTCTCTCTGGCTGCTTCTCCCTAGGGGTCTGCATCTTATCTCGCTGGCTTCCTTTCCTCTATTGGCCTCTGACTAATAGGCTTTGTGTTCTGGAAGTCTAATAATTTCTTTTGTCTCTTCACTCTTCCTCCTTTTAAAAATACTGGATTAAATGGCTGTAATGTTTTGCAGATTATCTGCACTGGTGACATGGATTAATTGTATACTTGACTCTAAGTTATTCAGCAGTAATGACATAGTAACTTGACTCGAAACAATGGTAATTTCATGGCAAATGTTCAAGGCAAATGTTGCCTTCTGGTAAAGAGCCACCTGCAATTTACCCCCTGTAAACATATGACACAAGTAAACTGTCTGTGCTAGTTTTCTTGGTGTCTTCTATACAGTAAGTTGCCTCATGTGTGTCTTTTTGAAAGTCAGCTATCTCTTCACCCCCCACCCCCCCTTCTTTTGACTCTAGTTTGAGTCAGGTAATTACAGATCTGGGTTGAAGCCTTCCCAGGAAGTGATCAGAAAAGCCAAGACTTGCAGATGTGCTCCCATCGTTCTCTTGCACCTTGACTTCACCTGTTCATGAGAAGGTTTTGTGGAACTGCTCAGCTTTTGGTAACTGGCTATCGGTGAGCAAATCTGAGAGCCCCAGGGGCAATGGTGGTTGGAAAACGGAAGGGGAGCTCTGCTTTCCCTTGCATGAATGCCAGTAATCTTTATGGTGACATAAGGAGGCTTGGTGATGTTTTTGCATTCTGATCTCGGTGTTAACCAGAACAGAGCAAAGGGGAAGAGAAGGTGGATCAAAGCTTCTTGCCTAAGAGATAACCTGTGAACTAACCCATTTAAACTCATTATGTCTCCGTTTTATCCATGTGTTTTGGGGGGCAGCTCTCCAGTCCAATGATCTGCATCTTGAAGGAAGCAGAAAATCTGGATTTTAGGTAAAGGTTATTTAATTGCAATGTTTTGCCACTAGAAGAGTGATGGTTAGGAGACTACTTAGCTGTGAGTATTAAAGAACTCTTTCACAGAAGTAGGAATGCTGTAGAGACACCAACAAAAGCATAGGTGGTCAGACAGGATTCCAGTAAAGAGAATGAACTGGTATAATCTTCTGAGTGTCTCAGAAAGAATAGTTATAAATGCTGTTCTGTCTGTGACATCTGTTTTGTGAAAGACAAAACTTACTTAGCAAAATGTGAGAATGCTGTTACTGACCTCCTGTCACAGTTTGTTATTCCCAGAAAGTCAGACTGCCAAAGACAGTATGACAGTCATAGTTATTTGTTGTCTCACTTTTCCTATTTAGTGAACATAAGTGGCTTTTTTTTTTTTTTAAACCAAAAGGATTATGTGCTCCTGGAAAATACCAGTCTTTTTTGCATCCATGTAGTAGCAGAAAGTGACAGTTTTAAGTTCTTACTCTGAAATTTTTTAGTGTAATACAACTTTTCCTTCTGCAACTTTGAAACATCTAATACAATCAGTCTTATCCTTTTGTTTTAAAATTGAAAAGGAGGAAGAAATACCATCCTAACGCCTATGATTATGGGAGGTGTGTGTAGCTTAGTAATAGACTCACAAACGCAAACTTCCTAGGACTTGGTTTTGATCATATGCTGACTGTTCAATATTTTCATTGCAAGTGAGTCTGTACAGAAAGCATTGAGTGCTCTGGATCAGCAAGTAAATGGGCGGTCTGGAAGTGCCAAAGGTCTGATGTATGCCAGCTTCAAGCACAGTTACCTGTGCTTGGAGTTAGCGATTATGTCTCATGAAGCACTGGATGGATACCTACACACCTTACGTCTCTTGTGAGACACAGGACATCAAGTGAAATCGAGGATATGCAAAAGCTTATTAACAAAATATGTGTGTTGGTTGAAGCTGCCACCAAATTTCTCAGAGGTGAGAGTCTTTGTTGTAACTCATGACCTAGGTTCAAGTACTCAAAGGGGCTGCTTTGAAGCTGTTGATACAGTTAGCATCTAAATACTGCAGCATCTGTGGTACGGTGTGAAGTGTTAGTGTCGTTCACTGCAATAGGGAACTTGGGACTCAAATCAGCAGAGAGAACTAGGGTCTCTGCAGGTGGCTTTGTGTATTTTCTGCTTTAGAAACTGCAGTCAGCTTAAAAATCCAAGCATATGCTCTTAAAGCACTTTCAGATGTCAGTCCTTTCACTTAGAACAATTCTTTGTACGTAACTTAAATACGACTCCAGTATTTACATGGTCAGCTGGTAATGAAGTTCCTACACAACTGCATGCAATGAGTGATTCTTTTGGCTGGCAGCCTGTAAACTGTGTTACACTTTCCGAGATGGCTAGCGGGCCTTCTGTAAACTCCTTATGAGCATCGGCTGCCAGAAGTGATCCTGTGAGGTGGTCTGGCTCTTGTCTTGAGACTTGTCCCTTTGCTGTGGCTGTATGGGTCACGGTTCTCACAGCTGCTTTGTGCTGGAGATGGGGCACTGTTAACCAGAGCTGCTGGAAGGGCTTCCTTTTTTTGTGTGATCGGTGTGTTTTCTTCATTGTTGAGAACGGTAAGAAATACAAAGTTACTCACTTATTACAGTTAGTTTGAAGCATATCTTATAGGAATCGCTTGATATCTACCTGAATTATATTCAGTTGAATGTAATGGATGGAGGTGGCTCGGCCGCTTCGAGGTGAAGTCTACTAGCTGAACTCAGTGCAAAAGAAAATCTGTGCACACTTAGCTCAGTTTAAAAGTAAATGTTTTTTTTCCATTGCAGAGCGGATTGTAGACTGAGGTGGTTTTCCTAAATTATTCTGGTTTGGCTAAAGGATAGTTGCAGTTTTCCGTAGATGAATTTATGGAATTGACTGAGACAGAGTAAGGTAAATATTTGTAGAAAAGCTACTTTCGGATGCTTACAGCGGGGTGCATCTGTGTCGGATATCTGAGGGTCATGGTTTCTGTTGGTCCTGTAATCTGTGGGTTTGCTGTAGAGATGTGAACCGGTTGTGTCTGAGCACACAGAGTAGCTCTTCCCTTGGCATGTGCTGCTTTAATTATTCATAATACATACTGAGGTGCTAAAGGTCTATCATGCTGCGCAAAAGCTACAGTGTACCCTGGAAAAATACTGAAGGATTATTCTTTTACAACCTTTTGCAGGTTAAAGGGAAAAAACCCCACAAACCCTCATTAGATGATGATTTGTCTTTTTGTAAGTGCTGCTGGACCTTGAGACTTGTATGGCCTTTGACAAGGATCTCGGGGCATGGGGGAAGATTGATAATTTTTAAATGGATGGAGATCAATTGCTCAGTGACTGAATCTTTGTTTTTTGAAGGTGGTAGACTCAAACTCATCCAGGGTTTGAGTTATGTGCAGTGAAATAAATGAGTTTGTTCATGTCTAAGTATGTATGAGGTAGGGATGGAATCTGGTTGGGGTTCTGGTTTCAGCTTTGCTGAAAACTGATGGCATGATCTTGAACAGCCATGTTGTTTGGCTGTCTTGATTTCCCCTCTGCCCGTTGTCTTGCTTGCAGCCTAAACAGACTTCTCAAAACAAGTACTGCTGCTGCTTGAATTAGTTCATTAATTTATTTACATTACAGAAGCACCTGAAGGCACCCTTCTAAGGTTATATGCTGTTTAGCTAACTGGACTAGGGTTTGCTCTGTGAAAATACAATAATCCTAACAAATCATTCTACCCACCTAATAAAGCAGGATGAAGCATGTAATAGGAAAGGATTTAAAACTTTTTAATGGGGCCAAGTGGAAAAACAATGAGAAGTAATTGGTAAATAAGGTATTGTGTGGTTAGAGTAAAAGGAAGGGAGGGATTCGAGAATGATGCATGTGTGTCTGCTGAAAAGGCTGCTTAAGGAATGTGTCTTCCATGAGGAAAAAGTAGTAAGGTGCCTTTACTCTCTCTTCCCCTGTAATTTTTCACATTATTATTCATTTTTTCTTAAGCTAACCTTGTATAATTAGCTGCACACAGTGAACTACAGATCTGAAACATCTGTTCTATTTTTTTCTTGAGGCTACTTGTTGGAGTTTGAACATGAAATGTGGTATCATGGCCTGTGTCTTAGTAGGGTGCTCTTCAAGAGCATAGAAAGCAGATTTCTGCTGCCCTGAGTCCTGAATGGAAGAGTATTTCTTGATGTCCCAGCCCTGGACTTGAAGTGACAGCACACCATGTCGAGGTGCAGTTTTTTGTTAGATTTTTGCCTGCTTCCTGGTGACTGTGGGGCTTCTAGGAAGAGGTTTGGTGATAGCTCTGGTTCTCGGCACTGAGAGCTGGCCAGCGTTATGGACTGTAGACATGATGAACAGTTTCTGAATCTAATGTTAACATGAATTTTTTTTTTTAAGATATTTTTGCACCCGTCCCTTTCTTCCCTTCCAAACTAGTTAAGCCTTTCCACTACGGTCTTTCTCAAAGAAGTCCACATCTCATTTGAGAAGGTATTTGGGCTTCCAACATACACGTTGTCTGGCTTGGTTTTCCCACTGACTGCCATTTAGCCTTCCACCAAGTGGCAGCCAAAGCTCTGCAGGGTCCCTTTTTGTGCGACTGTATAACTACTGCTCTGATACAGGTGTGTTCTGTAGGGACAAACTTTACCCAGTTTGATCAGATTTCTGAATCCGGTTTGTTTCCAAAGCTCAAAGCGAGGTTAATCAGTAGTAGTTTGTTATCCTCACTTGGAACAGATTGATGCAGTTCCCATCTGTATGCCCCCAAAATCATAACCTGGCTGTAGTTCACTGAAAGGTGTTTGAACTGCAGAAAGCCTGACAAACTAATAATTCATTTCAACTAATTGCAGCAGTACTTTCCTGCTTTTAGACTTCCTCTTAAGTAACTTTGCATAAATGTATTTCTGCAGCAGAGGTGCGGAGCAGATCTGTGTGACAGACTGGTGCTAGCACAGTGCTTGGTTAGGGATGTGGTGAGGTGTCGTTTGGTCTAATGAAAGCCCATAACATGCCCATTGCACTGGAGTCAGAGTGCTTTTGTGGAGAAAGTTTTGTTGCAGGATATGGCTTGAAATAAGCAGCTTCCATAACATGATGGCTTTGCTGACCGAAGCTTTGCTTATGCTTTAGCACTTAGCACCAAGTGCTTTGGTGGTGCAGTATAAAACTCTTAACTGCGCGCAGTAAAACCTTCCATGCACAGAGTTGATCCTCTCAATTTCTGCCTGCTGAAGAGGGAAACAATATCACTAATTCTTCACCGATTCCTCACAGAAAAGCAAAGAAAGTTGCCTTTTGTGAGAACGCTATCAGCTCTTACCCCTGGAAAAGCATCTGAGGACAAGAGTCGAGGGCGATAGCAGCTTTGGTGCTGCAGTGTTCTGCAGCGTGATCCTCCGTGCACCAGTGCTCAGGAGAGCCACAGTCACGGGGGAGTCAGACACAGGTGCAAAAAGAGGCAGGTGAGCAAAACAAAGGTCTCCATAATCCTGAGGGTGCACACCATTTGCTTATTTACTTTCCCAGTGGACTGCTGAGTGGGATTGCTAACAAACGATGCAGGCTGTTTTCTGAGTTGCTGTACCGTGATGCTTCTCCCACACCGGCGAGGGGGGATGCTTGGTGATGGTAGTGTACAGCTATACCTTGCAACCCTGACTGAATTAAAGGACTGAATTAAAACCTGTGCCATGGAAGTGTTGGTGCTTCTTTCCCCCCCCGCCGCAGTTACCTTGTGTGATTTAGGATGAAGTCAGCCACAGCGCATTGCTGTGCCATGATAGCCTTTAAATACAGACTTGAAGAGCTTGTTTTTTTCTTTAACTGCTAACTCATACTGATTTTTTATTCCACATGCCATAATTGTGTTGTCACAGAAGTTTACTCTTGCCTACTACATTAAAAATTAAAAAAAGGTGAAATTGGCAACTTGATAAAATAAAACTAGTAAGAATTGGGGAAGAAAAGTAGCTGGCTGTTCTAACAAATGTTAACATTTCTGGCTCCAGACAATGTGTGTGTACAGGTCAGCCAACATGGAAACTACTTCAAACAACCTGAAAAAGTTTGGCTTTTGCTGGGTTGGGCCAAACTCCATCAGATTCAAGCTTCTTTTGAACTTGAAATAAGTGTTTGCTTCCAGTATGTGCTGTAGTCAACTGGAAACGTAGATTTGGTGGATCACAGATTTCTTCCAAAGAAATACAAATCTGTTTGAAAAGTAGTTTGTTGCATAAAGTTGCCGTGACAATGGTTTTTAAAATGTGAAGTGTAAGATGTTGCCTCTCCTCTGTTTAAGCAGGCTCCTGGGGGAATGAGGCTGCACGGCGTCCTGTGTCCCTCTCGTCTCTTCTTTCCCTCCCCTGATGATTTATAAAAGGCATTACTTAGTTGCAGGGGGCCAAAAGAAATTCACATAGACGTGCCAGATGTTACATTTTCTTAAATGCTTGAAATTCATGGCATGCTATGGTCAAATAGAAAGAAATCCAAGCTGGTACTTCCACTGCGAGAGAGGCAGGAACTCCTCCGCTCCCGTACACGTTTAAGCTGGCTGTGCGCCCGCACAGGGTGGCCCTTTCAG